GGAAATTTATGGCAAAATTGCCTTCCCGAGGGTTTTATCCTCCCACCGGCCGGGTCTCGAGTTTTCATTTCACACTGTTTTTAAAACACACATTGGGCAACCGAACTCCCAACATGAGGGGAGCAATTACCTGCCTGAATCCGGCTGAAACTGCAAAAAGGAAACAGAGTTCTTGCTGCTGCCCTTGGAAGAATCCATTCACAATCACAAGCCTAAAAGGAATCAGCTTTATTGCAACTGTTGAGCTTCCCCGGGGAGAACAGCGACCATGCTGGTGCCTCTCCCAGCCCACAGTCACGGAAAAAACGGAACAGACGTTCACCCCTACCTGCACTGATATAGATTATATTAGCAGCACAAATAAAAAATGTATTTTACTATTCTCACCAGCCCTGCCCATGGGAACTTGACTACTTTTAGAACGATAAATAAAATCGCAAGTTCCTGGAATAGCCTAAAGTACAAGTTTATGTGTTCTCCAAAATTAAAACCATCTATATGTGTTGTTTGACAAAAAATCACTCATCACATCCAACGCCATCTTCGATTCCTGTCTGTGCTCTCACTCTGAAGGTGTGATAAAATGTGCTAAGCACTAAGATTCGCAGGCCTGCTCCAAAGAGAACAGTTACACATCCAGCTGCTCTGAAATGCCACGTTCCACTTTCAAGACACTACTTCACCTCTCCGCAAAATCCTACACATGATATTTCAACTGAAATAAACAGTGGGGTTAGATGAATCCCATTCTGGAAGACAATCTGCGGCTGCTTGTGCGCTCAAAATGAGAACACACGATAGTACAGAACCTCTCTAATTGGCAATTTTCGATTTAAAACACCTTGCCAATTTCCGGGCGGTACGGGCCCCTCTATCTGTCAACACAGACACTGGCATACTCCAAGAAGAGGGACGTACGTCAGTGGGCACCTAGGTGATAGGGGAAAACAATGCCATTCAACGTGATCTATGAAAAGATGGTAATAAAGACACGCCCTCCGAGAACTGAATGCCTGGCCACTCAGTGACCAAAGGACTAAACCAGGTGTGATTTTCAGGCAGCAGATGCCTTTTCTTTGTATTCTTTCCTGACAACAGAGCCTTTCTAGTTCAAATATTCTGCAGTTTTGTGTGTGACGTCAGAGATTTCTTAATCCAATTTCGAGACTCTGCTTCTGAAAGCGAGGTTGACAGGACCTGATTTCCATCCTCCTGCTGTCAACCCCAAAGTCACCACATTTCACAAGTATGTTTGCCCGCAAATGCCCTGCACGGTTTTCCTTTGGATACCCGCCCACAATTTTGACTGCATTAAAAAGAAGCTTAAATTACTCAAGCACTTGGTGGTTTTGACAAAACAAATGGAAGAGAAGGTATCACAAGGGCAGCCAGAGACAGGGACCGTGGAGGAATAGGAGACAGCCACTAATACATGAAAAGGTAAAGAATGAGGAACAGTGTGTATGAGTATCCTCCAGCTGCCATAACAAACCATCACGAGCTGGGTGGCATACAAACACAGAAATCCTTTTCTCACACTTCTGGAGGCTAGAAGTCCAAAACGAAGATGTCAACAGGGTTGGTTCCTTCTGCCGGCTTTGAGGGAGAATCTGTCCTATGCTTCTTCCTGGTTTCTGGTGACTGACAGCAATCCTTGACATTCCCTAGTAGCCGGCTACATCATTCCAATTTCTGCCTCCATCTTCCCACATAGTCATCTCCCTGTGGTCTGTCCTTTATGGCCTTCTTACAGGGACATATTGGACCCAGTGCATACCCTGATCCAGTATGACATCATCTGAACTAGTTATATCTGCAATGATCCTTTTCCAAATAAGGAAAAAGTCTGAGGGTCTGAGTGAACATGAATTTTAGGGGGATACTTTGTCAACCCAACACAAAACGATATGGCCACATTTTCACTTTCTAGGAGATCTTGAAATCAACACGTGCACACTGATTCTGCAGGCTACTCACTCCATCTCTTGCAGACATGCCTGGTATATCCAGGGTTCCTAGTCAGTATCTGCTGAAGAATGAAAGAACAAGGGTCTGAGGCAGGACCTAAGCCTTTCCTTGCAGAGCGGATCTGCTGAATGGCAGCATCTCTGTTACAAAAAAACCCATCCGCCATCTCCAGAGTGACGTCCTCTAGCATTTACTAAGAAGGTGAAATGGCACAAATGCTTGCAAAGCCTCTGAGTGAGGGAATCTGATGCTTACGAGGCCTTCCCAATCCTTCCGGCGGCTCATCCACATCTCACTCAACAGCAATTACTTTTAATGTGCTCACCCTGCTTTGTGACTCTGCCAAGGACCCAGTCTAGTTTTAGAACAATCACCATCTTTGCTTCCACATCCATCTCTCATGAGCTTATATGTAAGTCAAGATGGCTAGCTCCGTGCATCAAGTGGACTTGGGTAAGAGGTCTCCAGACAGCTGGGAGACATTGTTTCTGAGGTGTGTGTGAGGGTGTTTCTGGAAGAGATGAGCATTTGGGCAACGTCTAGTCTTCCAAGGGCCTGGACAGAACAAAAAGGCAGAGGAAGGGCGAATTTTCTCTTTCTCCCCTCCTCTTTGTCCAAGCTGGAACATGCGTCTTCTCCTGCCTTCAGACACGAGGACACCAGGCTTAGGCTCTGAGACACACCTGTCTAGGTCTCTGGCTGGTTCCCTCAGCCTGAGACACTCCGTCAGCTCTGCAGCACCTCTGGGTCTCCAGCTTGCAGACAGCAGATTGGGGGACTTCTTGACGATGAGGGGGGTGCCCACATCTGCTGGTTACGAACATGCCATACTCCAGCAAGCTGATGACCCTGATGAGCAGGCAAGGGTGGCCCTGACCAGTGTGAGCCAGGCTGAGAGGCATCCTGCTGTCCCAGGTCCAAAATGCAGGACTCCAAGGCAGGTGGAGAGGGTGGCAACCATGGACGCTTTGCAAGGAATCAATCTTTGAGCTGGGTTTTAAGAAGTGAAGAAAGGTTTCTAGGCTGGCGAAGACGGGGAAGGGCTTTCTGATGAGGGGAACTCAAGGCACAGTACTATCCCAGCGTGTGTGGACCATGAGCTTTTTTCCATGTCACGCGTGGGAGCAGGAGGTGGCAGGAAAGCAAGTGGAGATATTCAGGTCCGGATCCCATCTGCTTTGCAGTGGGGAACCTCACTCTGGCAGATACAGAAAACAGAGACTGGGGAAGGGGCAAGGGGAGGGAAGGTGCTGCCGACTCGCAGTGGTCCAGGGGGTGGCTACGGGCACGAGGAGCAGCAGATGGAGTCCAGTGACAACCAGGCTGCTGAATGATCACGCCTGATGACAGAAGCCGCTGTCCAGGAAGGGCCTCGGTGGGCACCTGCCTCACCCTTCTGTTCTCTTGCAGAGCCAGCCGCTCCATGTGCTGGGAACACCTGTTCTCCTACCAGGAACTCAGTGTCCTTGGCACCTGGCGTTGTGCCCAGCACATTGGAGACTCAAAAATTGTCGCAGAAATGAATGAATGAACATTGACTGCATGAGAAAGAGAGGCTGATATTCACACGAAACAGGTACTAATGTAGTTTGAGCCAAAGCCAAAGCTTTTTGTTCATCATCCTGACCAATATGGCTGTTGGATAATTAGAAGGAGTCTCCTGGAAACATTGAAAAATACGCCAACAAATTCTGTAGTATTTAGCTAATTCCCTTATTGAATAGATATTAAGTAGCAAGAACTCCTTCCAGTACAGGGGGACTCTGGGGTGAAAGCCGAGCATGGAGGTCATTGATTAAATACTGTGCGGAGATAGGGTTATTTTTAATAGTATCACTTTCTGGCTATTTTATTATCTTTGTTGCTCCCATACTGTGTTTTATAGCAATGCATATCACTCAAGAATAAAATGATTTTTGTGAACTTATTTCAGAAAAATTGGGCAGTGTGCTCTGACCATGTGGGGTAGAGACACCCAGATGGAAGAGAAACAGGGAAAATCCCAGCGGCCGGAGGAAGAAAAGAGGCCCAAGCCACAGGGTGAAGATTTGAATGTAACAGTCTCTGTGTCCAAAAGCAACACTCTTTCGCCCTCCTGAACTTAACCTGGGGGGACAGGTGAGTTGCACAATGGCAAAGTCCACACACGTGAGCTGAGTGCAGCCCCTTATTCCAGCCTGCTCACCAACGACTCAACAAATGAGATGCAATCCAACCACCCGAGTTCTCCCCGACCCCAGGCCACCTGCAAGGAACAGAACCAAATCCCTCGGGAAGTAGGTGGATGACATGCATGTCACCAGGGGCAACTCTGCTTGCTGCTCATCCTGCAGGATTCACAGAAAGCTGTTCCTCCGCTAACCTCAACAGAACACTGACCATCTGCGGTCCTCACCAGGCGACCAGCTGGGACAGGAGGGCTCCACCAGGCCAAGGCTGGGGGCCTCACGCTGTCCCGTGCATGAACCTTTTGGCAGCTGGAGGTCTAGGGGCGTCTCAGGGGGGAGACAGAGCAGCCAGGGGACACTCACAAGGTTCAGGATAACAGCTATTTCAATTCACCAGGAAGAATTTCTAGGTCATTAACCAGAAGGGTGAGCAGCAACCCTGCATGACAGGCCTCAGAACAGGGATAGGCAAACTGTTTCTGTAGAGTTGAATGGTGAATGTTCTGGGCTTTGCCAGCGACAGGGTTCCACTACAATGACTCAGCTCAGCCACTGTAGTGACAGAGCAGTCAGACAACCGTGAGCAAGGTCTGGCCACCCTCCAACAGGACTGCTTAAAAAAAAAAACAAAAGTCAGTGGGACAGAACACTTAGGGTGTAGGTTGTGACCCTGACCTTACAGCTGAGCACAGTTTACAATCCCGCAGAACAACCCAATCTTCAACCTCCACCCCGTTCACACAACATCTTACCAACGGACTTAACTCACCTGATAATTCTTATGCACACTCGATACATACAGACCCTCCAAGATGGAGTCAAAAGTCCGTAGTCAGTCCCTAGTCCCCAAACTAAGATACTCACCCCGAAAAATCTGTCGTGAGCACTCCATAGTGAAAGATGTATATTCGGCTGATGTGACATATCGTAAGGTATCCCATCGCCACAAAAAAAGTGTATCTAAGAGCAAAAACACAGAAGAGCAGTTTATTATGCAGACCAACAATGCACTCAGGAAATGTCCTCTTCCTCCTCTCCCTCACCCTCTACAGGAAAACGGTCAGTCACACCTGGTCCAGCGATATTCCAGGCCATCCTGAGTCCTCACCTCTCCACCCTCGGCTCTGAGCCCTCCATCTCTTCACCAGGACCACAGTGGTCGCCGTCAGTCCCGACGGCATAATGGAATCAGCGAGGGAGCTTAGCAAACTGGGGGTGCCTGGGACCTCCCCCAGCTGTCCTGGTTGAGTGGCACCAGGTGCACATGGCATTCCAACACGCAGCCAGGACTGGGTACTGCTGACCCGTAAGGTCTTGTACTCGGACCCTCTTGTTGACCAACCATCATGTTCACGTGATAATCTTTACAAAACACAAACCACCACCTACCCCTGACCACGCCCTTCCTTAAGGCTTGGTTGTCTTGGTGTGCCTGCTTCTGTTTTTCTGCCACCCCTCTGGCTAATTCTACACAGGACCCTCCCTACCCACACCTCAGGCTTCAATGGCCACTCTGTCCTTGGCACTCCCCAGCTTCCTTCAGAGACACCGTCTGCTCCTCTATGAGTGTAAACCAGCAACACACACATAGGCAGACCACACACAGACACACACGTGCATACGTACACACCCTTGTCATTCACAACATTTATCAATTTGTAATAATAAATTTGCCTGATAATGTGTGCAATGGGCTGAATATGTGTGTCCTCCCCAAATTCCTATGTTGAAATCCTCTGATGTGTTGGTAGTAAGAAGTGGGCCTTTGGAAGGTCCTAGTGAACGGGACTAATGCCCTTATAGTGGGTGCCACTCCCCAGGCAGGTGAGAACTTGCAGACAGCACACGAGTGCTTCACACTCTGCTCTCTAGCTCAGCATTCTCAGCTCACCTGCAACCGGCCTCACGGTCACCTGAGCTCAGGTGCCCTGGCCTGCTCCTGTTCCCCGGCTGCACCCTGTACTCTCAGGTCCGATGTCTTTCTTCATGCTCATTCCTCGGCCTGCAGTTCCCCCGTCCATCCATCCCACAGTCCATCCGGAACTCTACTGATCAGATAAGGCTCAGCTCCAATGCCACCTCTTCCCTGTCACTTGGCATGGTCTTGTTCCACCCACCTCACCCCATGTCCTGCTCCTCAACACAACATGTGGTTCCACTGTCGGCACTTTTCTAGTGCTACCTGCTAACCTACATAATTATAGTGCTGAAAGTTATTTACATAGATGTCTGCTTCCCAAGGCACTTGACCTTGGGCCTCTCAACCTTGGCTTGACACATAGGAGATGCAGTTACTATTAGTATAAATAAACCAAACCGAACACACTAAATGCTTCTGAATGGTTCAGAGCCCATCAGATACAGACATACACTCAGATGGTCCAACTTTTCCCATAAAACAGGGAAGATGAATATTCTGATGTTAAATTATATTGAAATTCACACATTCACATTAAAATAACTCATGAAGATGAGATCAACCTAGGAAATAGTAAAGGGTAATAAAATATTATTCAGCAGCAAAAAAGCCAGTCAGGAGTGTGAAGGAGCTCTGTAAACTAAATCACTGCATAAGCTCTTTTTACCATTATTTACAAAGATGTTACAGGTTGACCATCTCAAATATGGAAATCTGAAGTGCTCTGAAATCCCCAACACTCCAAATCTAAAACTTTTTGAACATCATGTCACTGCTTAAAAAGTTTCAAATTCTGAAGCTGGGTGCAGTGGCTCATGCCTATATTTCTAGCAACTCTGGAGGCTGAGGCAGAAGAATCCCAAGTTCAAGGCCAGCCTCAGCAACTCAGCAACTTGGCCCTGAACAACTTAGCAAAGCCCTGCCTCAAAATAAGAAATATAAAAGGCCTGGGGATGTGGGGATGTGGCTCAGTAATTAAGCACCCCTAGATTCAATCCCTGGTACAAAAATAAAAAAAGCTTAAAATTTTAAATCATTTCTGATTTCAGATATTTTTGATTTGAGGTGCTCAACCATTAAAGTCTATTAAAATATTCAAAATTTGAAAAAAAAAACTACAAAATTGGAAACACTCTTGTCCTAAGCTTTTGGGGTAAGGAATACTCAACGGGTACTATAGAAGGAGATTTTTTCCTGCCACGGATTCATCCCAAATCCTATAAGACAGTCAGTAAAGCAAATAGCTAAGGAAACTCTCCCCTCAAGAACAGCAGGAGGAACAGAATGGACTAGGCCTCCTGCCCTCCAGCACCCATCCCCCTTCTCAGCCAGTTCCTGAGCCCAAGGCAGAAGCCCAAGGCAGATTGGAAAGGCAGATTCTTCCAGGCCCAGTTCAAAAGCAGCCACCACACCAGTTGTCGCCACTTGCCCTTTGTCTCCTACAGAAGTTAGCCTCAGGCTTGAACCTGGCTTGGAGGGGAAGCATGTTCATGTCAACCATCCCAATAGGCCCTGGGTTGTCAAGGACGAGCGGACTCCTAATACAACAGGGTGAAGCATTCAAGCCCCAGCCTGACCTGAAAAATCTAAGGCATCCAGGAGTGGCACGGAAAACACGTATTCTGGACACAGACTAATCCAAGTTCAAATCCCAGCCCTGGTAAGGTCATCTGTGGTGTGAGAAGTTGGCAGAGAGATTATTTTAGGAAAGAGGGGTGCGGCAGAGACTGGGCCATGAGCGATGATCCTGTTCTCTTCTTGACCTGCCGGAGGCTACAGGTGTTTGCTCACTTTATGAAAATCCATCAAACTCCACTTCTCTGCCTCTCAGAGCTTTCAGTTCCACATCTCAGAAAAATAAAGAAGAAAGCATGTATATACATAAAGATCCCAAAGAGTTGTCTTAGAAGGAATGTATTTGAAACGAAGAGATACAATGTTAAATACTGTGTTGACAAATAGTTTGTGTCCTTAAAATAGTGAAATGTCATATGTTTTCAAAGGAGCTTGTCCTGGGATGTGGCACAGAGTAGGGACTGAGAGTAGCACTGTTGTGGCTCGGTGCCTCTGTCCCACACCTGGTAAACTGATCCCTATGCCTCCTGCCCCACACGGTGGCTGGGGAAGGAGACAGACCTGGCTTCTTTAAGAACTCTCTAACAAAATCCTGAGTAGCATCAGTGCAGAAAAGGGTCAGTTCTCAATGCAGCAAATGCCAGTTCTCTCCTCCTCCCAGCCACTGGACCGAGCTCTGTGACTCAGGGAAGAGAAAGGAGAAGTCACCAAGAAGCACTCAATCGGGGTCCTGCAGAGAACTGGTGTTCAGAGTCCCCCAGACTCCACACCTCACGGGTGGGCGATCTCACGGGCAGAGGTGCTGTGTGACCTGACTTCCCAACGCGCTCCAGGGCCCTTCCCTGAATCGATAGGAAACAACTTCAGAATTTTTTTTATTTTTCAATGGACACCAAGTCCACCCACTGAACTGGGAACCACCTTCCCCCACTGGCTACCACCCAAGCAGAGGGAAAGGGAAGGGCTTCCTGGGGCGTCTTTCCTTGTTACTCTGAAGGTAGAGCCTTCACCCACTGCAAGAGGACTGGGGAGAGAGTCACCCCGGCCACAGACCACTCCTCCGTCAAGTCAGCCCCTGGAAGGGAATCCTGGACACCTGGGCCGCCGTGGGATGAGTGTGCCTGCCAGTCCTCCACCCTCTGAAACAGGGCCGTACCCGCCAGCCTTACGTAAGTATCGAGAAAGCTGTAGACTCCAGTGGGGAGGGAGTTGGAAACACGCAATAGAGACCAGCATCACTATTAATCATATGACTGCCCTCGGAACTCTGTTTAGAATAAGCAAGAAATCTCACACACACCCCACCATCCTTTAAAAAAAAATTCATGAGCATGTCATCCTATGAAGTATTTCCAACACCAACTCCTTCCAAACTAGAAAACAAGTTTCCTATTTCCCTTTTGGAAGGAATGACACTGTCCTCTCAAGAAGGCCATTGAAAAGAGAGGTGACGATTCCAATGTCAGAGCTCCCTCGGGCACTCAGCAGAAGGAAGGTAAAGCTGAAAAGCAGGAAACAACATCCTCCTCTGAAAACCAGGACTCTACCACGAGTAGCTATAAAATCATAAACTACAAGGACAGATTTCAATGCTTTTAAAAAGATAAAAGGTAGTGCTGATAGTCTTGTTAATCGGGAAGCTCACCGAAGCTGAGGAAAGACACGTACTTTTTAGAGACGCCATCAGAAAAGAAGCCACAAAAGGGTCAGCAACTTTTAAAAGCGCTGCAGTCCCTTGTCCCACAGTTCTTATCGACCCTTGTTGTGCCAGGTGCTCTTCTAGGTTTTGAGGATACAGCAGGATACAGCGGTGAATGAGAGAGAAGCCTTGGTTTTCACAGAGCTTACACTCCAGGGTCCCCCAAAAGGCAGTCGGCACTGAGTTTCCAGGAAGACCATGGGAAAGAGACCTTGCAAAACATAGCCCCCCGCACTGACTATCCAAGCACAGAGCCTTCAAGTAGAATAAATTACTTCGGTACTTTGAAATGAAAAAATATACCATAGCAAAACCCTTTTTTTTTTTTTAAGTATATAGCTTAACGAGTTTTGGGTGTACACCCAGAAAACCATCACCAAATCAAAGATGGCGGAGACCTGCATCCCCCATGCCTTTCTGACCCCTTCTCTGTCTCCCTGCATCACGCCTCCCTAGCAACAACCTCTGATCTTCTGTTACTAGAGATTAGTCTGCATTTTCTGGAATTGATCTGTGTGGCTTCCTTCATTCAGCCTGTTTAACTCCAGATGCGTCCATGTTGCTGCGTCCATTCAGAGCTCACTCCTCTTCATTGCTGGGTAGTATTGCACCAAGACACCTAACTCCTCTTCATTGCTGGGTAGTATTGCACCAAGACACCTAACTTACTTCCAGTTTGGGACTGTCACAAACTGAGCTGCCAATCTTGATGAACTCTTTCATGCAAGGCCCAAGGGACAGCCCACCTTCTTCACAGGGCCTCCTCTGAAGACCCCCATCCCTCCCTCAGACATCCTAGAGGAGCTAGGACACACCACCGTGGGAAACCGGGAACTTACAACTTTGTACATTTCAAAGATCACACGAGAAACCTGTCTTGTGTTGCTCAACACCAGGGTCTTACCTGTGTATACTGGATACACTTGCGGTGACCAGGATTCCATAACACATTAACACCAGCACAAAAAGATGGACGGAGTACCTTTAAGACATGAGGGAGGGAGACACTGGATATATTTCATATTAACACACCCTCTGGCTACTCAGCCTCCCCTCCCCCTGCCAAAAGGCAATGATCAGTGTGTAAGAGAAAATATATCAAAAAAAAAAAAAGAGAGAAAATATATCAAGGACACTTTTTTGAGTAATTGAAGACACTACATCTTGAAATGACACGGGTCATGGCACAATTTGCCAGTTACAGCCCGTAATGTCACAAATCCATAAATGGACTGCTTATGTTTCTTCACGTCCATATATGATGCAGAGTCCAGAGAGATGAGGTTTTTCCTTCAGGACATTATTCATTTATTTTAAAGTACTAGGATCCAAACCAGGTTTTCCAGACACCGAGACTTTCGCCTGGTGGCTGATTCAGATTATCAGTCCTGCTCCAAATGTTCGGTGAAGTATTTGGAGTGGTCCTTCAGACCCTGAACAGTTGCACAGATTTCCTTAAGATACACTTCTAGAAATCTGAAATTCCTAAAATGTCAAAGAAGTGCCCCTCCCTGGGCACTGCCAGGCATACCCAGTGAAGTCCAATCTGCCGGTTCTAACAGGTCTTGCTCTGTCAGAGGATGACTCCACCTCCCCCAGGCCTGTCTGAAGCCACTGTTCTAACCCCGGAGCAGGACTAACACCAGGGGCTCCAGAGTGGTGCCAGAAACCCACCAGGGTCTGCGAAGGCTGGGAAAGGCCCGCAGCAGGGGAAAAAGTGAACTTTCCAGCTTCCACGGACATGGCCCATGGGGGCTGCGGAAGCCTGATTTTAAGGACAAAAAGTCATTGTGCTGACTTCCAGTGGGTGGTCAGCTTATTGGTTCTAGTTCTTTCTGTCTTTAATATAGTAAATGGGGATTCCTGCAGCATCCCCATTATTTTACAATAAAGTATTTGCAATGCTTTACCATGATGCAAACCTTTTTTCAACTCTCATTTCACAGCACACTCTTTTACAACCCTGTCCTTTTCTTCCCTTGGTGCCACCAAGAACATCCCCTCAAAACACCCAAATGACAACCATTAGCCTTTCTGAGGTGCATACTCACCAGCCAAAGCAAAAGATGACGAAGTAAGTGCCCAAAATGGTGGCGAAGGCATGCCGGACGGCGGGGCTGCTCTTAGCAGGATGCAGGTAGAGGCGAAACCAGAGAGCGGCGAGCAGGGCGAAGAGCTGGCAGGCCACGAAGTTCACCTGGGGAGAAGGGGGCCGTCACGGTCTTGCCCACGCGGATCCGCCCTGGCTGTCTTTCAGGGGCTGCATCAAGATGCATCCCAGACTGGGCTTTGGGTTTCCCTCAGTGGAGGTTTGGAGGAGGAACAAGAGACAAAAAGGGGACTGCCTTCATGGGGGACACCCCCAGCTTCTCCTCCAGGCCCACAGGTGACCAGGCTGCTTCCCCAAGGGCACAGGGTCCTAGTGTACAAGGCACCCATGAGGTCTCCTCCCAGCCCCAGCAGGACCAGGAAGGGAAGGAGGTGCTCTTCAGAGATGCCGAGCTGGGCGAGTGTTCCCCTGTTTGGCACCTAAGAAGTCAGTGTTCTCCAAAGTGGTCATCAGGTGTTTTATGACTTCAATCTTCTCATTTTTAATTAGTAAGAGCATTCCTTAAGGTCAAGATAAGACACTAAATCCCCTCCCCAAAAGAGACACAGACCTGCGTGAAACCTCCAGAGTACGCGTAGCCAATTTTGCAAGGTAGCTACATATTTCCTTGGAAAAGTCACAGTGGTTTCTCTCTCAAGAACATTTTCACACAGGGGCTGGGTGGAGCTCAGTGGTAGCGGGAGCACCCAGCCTAGGCAAGGCCCTGGGTTCCACCCCCAGGAACTAACCCATACACACACCCACTTTACTAAGGGGAAATATAAAACGATTCACTGAAATGCAGGAGAGATTTTTTTTTTTTTAAAGAACAAGCAAACGTGCATCTTCATAGCATAAATCAATACAAATCAAACAGTGAGTGACTTAACGATTAATGAAAACTAGAAAAGTAATTGAAATTCTCCAATGTAGGCAGGATGAAAACTTCACTACTAATTCATTTTTAGAAGGCAATTAATCAAAAAAATATTGAAAATGTGAATAAATGCTCCAATTTTCCATCAGGGGATTTTCATGCTTTAATAAACTGCAGCCGTTAATAAGTCATTAGGGTTGCACAAGGAGGTAAGGCTGGAGGAACACTTGAGCCCACTTTGTTTTTCTAATAAAAAGCAACAATACTTTGGACCCTTAGAAAACATTGCCTTCAAAGAATTTTTATTTCATTATTAAAAGTGAACTATTTTCCTCCCTAGTTGGAGATTAGACCCCACCATTGTCCCCAAAAACCTGTGCTCACTGCAGCTCACCTTCACTTTTCACCTTAAAAGACACAGAGAGTGACATATGGGTCTGTCATGCAACATGTGGCCACATCTTTTGTGTAGGCTAACTTAACACCACACACACACACACACACACACACACACACACACTCACAGGGAGAGAGAAATGAGCAACTTTGCAAGGCACAAAATGAGAAAGAATCAGCAACTGGAAAGTCAAAAGGTCAGGATGCTCTGAGATGACCAATCACATTCTCTCATTCTCTTGGCCCAGGGACCTGCACTTCCATGAACGTATTTACTCAAGAGACCAACTGTGGAGAAATCTGCTCCGTCGTTTTGGTTTGGCCAATAACTACTGAGCATCCGCACATAGAGAATGACACAGGGAACAGACCAGTGGTTCTCAAGAGTGTGGTCACCAGGCCAGCAGCCCTGACCTCATCTGGAAACCTGCAGGCAATGCACACTCTCGGCCTCCCCAGGCCCACGGAGGGAGACATTTCCTGGTGGAACCTGGGAGCGGATGTTCTAACAGATCTCCAGCATCCTCGAGTTTAGGAACCACCGGGATAGAAGAGAAAGAGGGCCTGTTCCCTGCCCTCGAGGAGCCCATGTGAAAAGAAGACAACCTAAAAATAATCGCATGGGACCGTCGGAACCGAAAAAGATTTTTTGCTTGACCAAACTTGCATCAAGCTCCTGAATCTTCTCCAGGCTCCACCTGTGCACTTCCTTATAAGATCAGTTTCAGTATGAACCCTGCTAAGAACCCCTGCATCCTCCAATCAGACCTGGTTCCCCAGCTGCTGAGCCATCCCACTAATCCCCAAGGAGAAGCTGCAGCAGCGCAGGCTGGCTGGAGGGCGGGTGCAAGCAGGGGCCATGGCCCCCTGGAGTCCACCATGCCAGTGCAGGCCTGAGGCACAGAGAGCCAGGGCCGAGGCCAGAGAAGATGCACCAACCTGTCACAAAGCGGCAGCCAGGCAGGGCCCATGTGGGCCATGCAGATGCACCACAGCCTGGAACCCTGAGCATCCTCGATCCCACAACCTCAGCCTCCTACTTCCTCCAGGTGCCCAGGGGAGCTGGAGCTCAAGCAGCAAGCACAGGCCACAGCCAGTGGGAACGCCTGTTCCCCTAGTGCCACTGCAGAAGTCCAAACCCAGAGCATCCGTGATCCATGACCTCAACCTCCCACTTCCTGCTGAGCAGCAAGAAAGCAGCCGTGGGGCAGGCCTGAATGGAAGTGCAGACTCGAGGGCTAGCCAAAGGCATTAGTACTTTTGCAAACCCCGATTATCCTAAACTTGGAACAACAGCGTTGACCCAAGGGCTCTACGAACCCCTGACTACCACACTGGAGTGGTAGCCCTTATGGGGGCCCCCTCCTGCCCCTTTAAGAGTTCTGTTTGTCACACTTGAATAAACCCTACTCCTTCCACTCTTGCCTTCCCTTGTCCCCTGAATTTCAGTCTCCAGATTTATGAGACCTGAAAGAACGGGGAAGGGAGTCGCCATGAGCTGCTGAAGTCTGTGGCAACACTGGCGGGCACAGGCACTGACCAGAGCTGGGCACGCCACTCAGGGGCAGAGAGGAGACTCTCTGCCAGCTGCGACCAAGCAGGTGTCCCCTGCTGGGCCTAACTGCTGACACTAAAATGGGCTCTCTCGGCCGCAGAGGCCTACAGCTTACCCAGGCCCCACCTGCCCACAGAAGTACAGAATCAAGTTTGACCTCACATTCCAGTTTCATGGTCACCCTCAAAGTGCCTGGCACTTTCTATTAAATTATTCTAAAGCTACAAAATTTTGCCCAGAATAAATCCAGTAAGCGGTTACCTCTGCTGAGCAGGTGACATGGCTGTCCCCGACATTCAGACTCACCTCGTACCCAGTCTGCCTCCCACCCAGCGTCTACACAGCAGCCCGAGTTCCCAGCATCCTTCTGTTGTAGGGAGAAGCACTGCAACCCAGGACCGTCCGTCTCTGGGGTTTTGCTCCTAAGTATAATTTTATAAACCTAAAGCAAAGACAAATCTAAAAGTCAAAGCAGTTTGCAAAATGAAAATTGGGAAAGATAATTTTCCCCTTTGAATTCCAAAAGCTTATCTCCATGAATCAAAAGCAAAGGTGAAGAAAATAACAGATTTTCTAACAATTAAGAAAAGGAAGAAAAACTCTGAATGATGGAAAGGCGGTTTTTTGCACAAAAGGAGATGGAGAGTTTGGAGAGCAGGTTCAAGGAGGGATGTCCCCAGTCTGAGGGTGGACAGAACAGGCACTTGGAGGCGGACAGCAAGGGTGAGGACAGGGAGCCACGACCACAGAAACCGGTGGAATCCCTAGGGAGGCCTGGAGGCCTGGCGGGGCCACCCCGGTAGAAGAGATGGCTGCCTGGCTTCCGGAAGAAGAGAGGAGGTGGCCTCAGAGAAGCGCGGCTTCCAGGAGGCTGAGGAGGCGTCAGATGCAGACCCTGGACCCTGGGAATGAAGAGCAGAGGCCAGGTGAGGCCTCGTGGACTGAAAAGTTCTTGGGGTTGGACTGAGAACTGGAGTATCCAAATGTGCAAAAGCTCGTGTTTGAAAGCACAGACCTCAGTCCAGCAAGGTTTGGTGCGGGGCTTTTAGGCACTGATGGGATCATGAGGCTCCTACCTCATCAGTAGATTAATCCATTTAAGGATTGATAGATTAATAATCCATTGAGAGCTGAATGGACTACTGGCACGGGGGACCTGGTTGGAGGAAGCAGGCTCTAGAGGCATGTCCTGGATGGTTTATCCTCCCCTTCTCTCTGCTCCCCAGATGCATGAACTGAGCAGCCTTCCTTCGCCATGCCCCTCCACCATGAAGTTCCGCCTTAACTCAGTCCAAAGAAATGGAGCTGGCTGACCATGCACTCAGGCCTCTGAAGCCATAAACCAAAATAAACGTTTTCTCCTCTAAGTTATTCTTGTCAGGTGTTTTGGTGGTGGCAAGAAAAAGCTGACTTACGTAAGAACAGTATGAACTGACCTCCGGGAGCCAAGGAAGGCTGCAGGCAGCCGCAGAGGCCGCAACAAGAGGGCAAGACTGAGACCACAAGGACAGCTTCACTGAGCAGAGGCCAGCAAGGAAGGCCAGGATGGTCTATGACTCCCTCAGAGCTCAGATCTTTTCCAAGCAGAGACATGGACAGCTCCTTCAGTTAACCACGGTTATGCTAAAGTGAATTGTCCCATTAGCAATGAAACTTGAGTGCTACACTAACTTCAGTGGGGAGAGATCTTAAAAGTTACGCCCTGGAGCATATCTGTATGAATTTTAGACCTACTATTATTAACAGAACTTGAAATGTGTACAAAAGTTCTGCACAAATATACTGACTTGAGCATTATTTGCAGTAGCAAAAAGAAGGAAACTAAAAGTGGTAGTGTTTGCTACCAGCCAAAACTTTCAACTGACTCTTGGAAATTTATTCAAGAGATGAAAAGCTAAAGGCCCCCAAAATGACAGGGTATCATTTACAGGACAGAACTAAGTAAAAGCAACCTAAAAAGAGGACACTAGATGTAAATCCCTCCGTGGGATAGCATGCCATCAATTAAAATCCCACCCGTAATAAAATGAAAGACATTCTCCTATAACTAATAAACAGTAGAATATCCAGCAGTATGAATACTTAGAACCATGTAAAACAATCCACAGCAACATACGGAAAAGAACAGAGAGGACATGTAAAATTGAACACAGCTGTTATACCAGCGTGACCAGGATCTAGGCCTTTGTTTTGTAAATCTTTTGTGCAATTTTGAATTGTAAAATTCCCTGTAAAATTTTATGCACACACACACTGACACACACACACAAATTGGTGTTCTCCAAAAAAGGCTATGAC